CCCCAAGTCACAGGCGAGCCTCGAATCCTGTCCTCCGAGCCGGCTTCTGGCAGGACCCCAAGGCATGCACCCATCAAGGGGTCAGGGCGCTCCGCTGTCCAACCGCCCCCGCCAAAGCCGCGCGCCCCCACAAGGAAGCCCCAGAGAAAAGCGGGTGTGTGGACCGAGCGGTCGGCCCCGCCGAGAAGGCGGGGGCTCGCTTGGTCTGCCCACGCACGGCGCGGTGGACGCTCTCTGGGACCCACTGTGCGGTCATTGCTCCCGAGCAGTCCTGGTGCCTCACGGTTGGCCCAAGAGGGGAGGTCGAGCTGTAGCGGCCAGCTGCCCCCAGGAAACCGCGGGCGGCACAGGATCTCTGGGAGAGGCTGGGGTGGGGAGGGGCCCTGGAGTGGGACGTGCGGCCGTTCTCAGCAAACGTCCCGCCAGAAGGGGGTCCGGGGATCTCGGAGGCCCACCTGAGCAGACGACACCGGCATCCTCGTGGTGACCACAGTTGTGGTTGTTCCAGCCGTTGTGGGCGCAGCTCCACAGGTAGGACTCCTGGCCTGAGCAGCGCACGTTGTCCAGGACAATCGGCCCCGAGCCCTGACCGAAGCGGGCACTTCCCGGGGCCGACGTGGCCCAGCCACAGCCCAGCTGCCGGCACACCACGTTGGCATCGTTGGTGTCCCAGTCGTCGTCGCACACGGTGCCCCACGAGCCTCGGTACAGGACCTCCACCCGGCCCTGACACCGGTCACCTCCATTCACCAGCCTCAGGGCCAAACCCGATTCGGTCTCTAGAGTAAGACAAAGCATTCCTCCTGTAAGTTCCTAGTGAAAGACAAGGTCTCAGGTCTCTAAAGAATTAGTAATTTTTCCCATTGGATTAAGATCCTTGAGAGAGTCAGTGACTGGGTTTGATCCATAGCACTCCTTGAATTCGGGCGCTTCACCATTAAAAGTACAGTGATTGCTCTGCCAAAACCCAATCCACCACAGCTTCAGAAGGAAAACAATACCTCTCAGCTGGATCCTCGATGGGACCTGGAAACTATTCACAGGTTCCCTCACTGAGCACCCATTGGCAGAGCCCCAACTCGCTTGCACCTGTTAGTCAGGAATGCCCATGCTGAAGAGTAGTCTGATGCCCCAGGATGTCGTAGCAGGAGCTCTGACATTCATCTGAGGCTCTGAGGCTGGCTTACAGACCATTTCGCAACTGGTCCTCTTGGCCCCACAGCCGAGTCCTTCAGGCCACTTTGGCCAGGGTCAGCACAGAGCTGTGCAGATGGGAGAACTGGCACTTGTACAAGAGACGGATCCCACTGGACATCGACCCAATATAAAGTGATTCCTTGAGATCCCTTGTTCAGACTGACCATTTCCCATCTTCTGGTACATGGACCATGTAGGAGGCACCCACTCAAGCCAGGCTCTCTGGTTCACAAGGGATCTCCCTTTGCATAACATGCTTACAATACTCAGTCTCACCCCATCCCCTAAAAGTTGCCCTGAAGCCAGTGTCACACAATGGATGGATGGATGGATGGACAGATGGATGGATGGATGAGTGTGAGGTGAGAGAAGAAGGAAGGGGAATAAAAGATGGAACTGGCTGAGTGCTCATCTGGGATGCGCCTAGAGTCTTGGCACTCCTTGACCCTTCCCTCTCCATCCCTGCTTTCTGAAGGGCAGGCAGTTGCTCTGTGGCCAAGATTAAACTCAGCTTCAACTAGCCAACAGCAGCAGCGCAGAATTGGTGGACCCAGCCAATGAGCAAAACCCCGGGAAGACAAGGAAGGAGAAACATCTTACCATAGGCGGTAGTCTGGGGGTTCCATGGACCTAGAAAGAAACCAAACTCTTCTTAGATAGGAGGGTCTGCTGTTTGGAAATGATCTTCTACTGACGCTGGATAGAGCTTCACCTCACAGTCACGCCAGGGGGCGTAGTGGTTCGCTCTTGGGTTTGTGTGCCTCCAGTGTTCCTGCTAACAGTTTAGGGTTTTGCAATAGGATTTAAAAAGGTGGGTTGGATACGGGGTGCTCAATAATTTTACATGTAATAAAGTACACGTGTCTTTACCAGGCACTCTAACACGACAGTTTATAGTCCCAGGATGTAATCTGTGCTCAGAAATAAAGGCTGAACAAGAGAGGCAGGTTGAACAGGCGTCAAGGATTTCAGGGGGCTGTTGAATAACCCCAGAGTCTGAAATTTGAGTTGAGTCAGCATCGGGAACAGCCACTCCAAGCCTCCTAAATCAGGAAATATTTGAGTGTCAGATATCCCGTTCCTTCTGATACCCTGAGAAATTTTCACTCTATCTTGAAGAAACCCAAAATCTAGAGAACTCTGGATCTTTATCATCAGTGAGGCCACACTAAAGCTCTCCACGCCCCCATCACTTCAGGTTAACCCTCAGTGTACCGTCAGCTCCATCGGACTCAATTTTAGTTTTTTAGTTTCTTTTGTTGAGCAGGTCTGACTATATTTGTGAAGATTCATACATCATGAATTTTCTATATTTTGAAAGGTCTTCCGAAGTTCAAAGAGAATATTTATTCACCAAAGAATAGAATAAAACTCATTCCTTCTTACGGTCACTATATGGATCATTGGATCCTTGTGTAAATCCAAGATACATTATGAGTTCTCGGTGATCTCATTTTTCCTACATCTTGAAATGGGTATCTACCACGTCATTCAAGGAATTAGTTAATCTGTTTTTAATTCTACAGGTACTATTATTAAAAAGGTCTATATAATAAAAATAGGGAAGAATGGTGGCATTGCCTAGAAGGAAAATGAAATGGTGAAATAAACCATCATTCTTCAGTGCCCAAAATATTGTCTTTCAAGAAGGCATTTTTTTAAAGGCTGGAGACACTGTCTTTATACTGTGCTTTTAGCTTTCATTGAATGCAGTTAGGAATTCAGAATTTTTCATCGTCTATTCATAATGGCAGAGAAAGAAAACTGATGAAGGAAGATGTTTCACAATAATTAGTGAAGCAGAAGAGGAATGCAAAGCGACAGAGAGCAGCACCCTGGATGCTGACGATTATGGTGAAATTGATCATCCACCTGAAATCTCACACTATGAGGCTTCAGATGACAATATCTCAGATGACTTTCCTCAGATTCAAGGATCAAGGAGTCTGCAATATAATTCTAAGTGCAGAAATAAAACGTAGTGCTCTCACCCACCTCAATGCAAAGGATCTCATCCATGATATCAGGCAGCAAGAACTTAGACCATCAGCTTTTGCAAAAAGAACGTGCAATGGTATGCCTTCATCTTTTATGAGGCTCATGTACCAAAATCTCCTTAATGCAAAGAGATCTGCTATGTTTAAATTCTTACCAGAATTTCTAGGAAGGTTGCTTTCATAATCCTTTTTTTCTTGCTTCCTCACACAGGGAGGGCTAAGGCATCTGACAAACTTCTCAGCTGCTATTGAAATGCGAGACCAGCCAGGAGCAGCAGTCAACAGTCAGAGACCTGAATTTCTCTCACGGAACCACAGGCAGGTGGGGTACAGGCTGTCAGAGAATGCCACCCCCTGTCTCTGCACCCTGAATGTGGGGTCCACAATGGTCTCTTCCAGCTGCCCTGCTCCACACTGTTGATGGCCATAACATGGCCACTGAGGCCAGGTGGCTAACACATCCTGAACATGAAGAAGCAATTCATAACAGAAACAGACAGCCAGAATATTCTTTCAACAGAGGCCACAAAACTAGAAACATGTGCACCAGAACACCCCCTCCTCATTTCTGACACACCATCCCTGCTCCCACATTCAAGGACAAGCTGACAGGCTTGAGAGAGTCCTCCGTTCAAAACTCTGCTATTTGAACACAGTACAGATGACACCATGTGACTCCTATGGACAGGCTCCAGGCACCTGGCTTAGTCACAGGGCAGTCAGTGTGAGAATCTGCGTTGGATTCAGAAGCTATGAGCTCCCAGGTCTTGACAATACTCATACATAGGATCAAACAGAACCTTGAAGTTGTCTCCCATTGTGCTGTGTCCATGCATTCTGAATAAACCCTTTTGCACACATTTACTGAGACCCACTTACACTCTTCCAATACTCAACCACACAGTTGTAGATGATGCTGGCTGCCATTTTGGGAATGGGGGTAAATCACCTGAAGAGAGAAGCTTCCACTTGTTTGTTTTCCAGAAAATGCAGACAGACTGCTCTCTGGCACTGAGGATCAGTGTCCAAGAGAGTTAAGCTGTCAGAGGGACCAACTAGGAAAAGCCACAAGAGATCTCTCAAGATACTCCACAAAGACCTAGTCCCTTTCCAGGGGAGCTGGCACCTTTCCATCTGGACTCAGCCATTGCCCCAAATCTCCCAAAGTACCCATGGTGTACATTTGGATATTCTGCACATTATCGCTGTAAGGGGGGAAAAACTGAAGAGTTTTGCATTTAAAAAAGCAGAGTATCATCAAACTAGCCCATATCTACCAGATGGGCCACTCCAGTGACTCTGGAAGAGAAGCCTAAGGAGATTGCGTCGTGGCTCCAACAGCGCTCTGGAAAGTGCTCTGGAACTGAAGCAAATGTCTACTGAAGAGTTATTGCATCTTCGTGGCTGGTGAAGAGAATCCCATGTCTTGCTATTTATATGCAAGGTCTCATTTAATCCTTCCCCCAACCCCATCCTCACTTACACCTGAGGACACTGAGGCACAGACGCTATAAAGGTAGCCCAAGGACACCCAGACCCCAACTCTACTGTCCATGCTGTTACCTATCATCCTGTGCTGCCTTTTGTCACAGCCGCTGCCTGCTACCAGCCACTCCTTGTAGTCCTTGCAAGGCAGGTGGTCCACGCTAATCTACTTTCCATAAACTCGCCAAATTCGGTTTTCAATGGGAAGTCACCTGGCGGCCTTCACTAAGACTCCAGCAGCGACAGTGACTCCCAGAGAAACACTCTTCCTTCCTGCTCTGTCTGGCTCACTCCCACACCGGCTCTGGACCTCAGTTCACCTGTGACGTTCTCGGGACTGCTCTCTCTGATGGCTGATCAACGGCTCCAGCACTGATCACAGCTCTGATTGTAACTGAGTGATCAGCTGATTAGTGTCTGTCTTTCCCTTAGACCCTAAGTCCCTGAAGGCAGGGAACGTGATCCCCTGAAACAGCACAGAGCGAGCCCATGCTGTGGTCTCTCCTGCTTAGAAGCGTCCTGGGAGGACTGGTTCTGCCAAATGAGGTGACAAGGAGATCAAGGCCATTGTGAAAGGCATGTCAAGGTTAGCAATGTACTTGTGGAAAAGCCTTTCTATGCACAAGTCAGACTTATGATGCAGTCGACAACCATTTGGGAAAATGGTGAAAACCTAAATGAGCTGGACATTAAATCAAATATAGGCATTAAGAAAAAGCGAGTAGAAGCGGGTAACACTTAAAATATATACACATATCTTCTGTCGCTTCCTTTGAAAGCTCTTGGCAAAGTCGTGCTTCCATAGTTATACTGCAAACACGAAAACTTCATTCAGTCCTGGGCCAGGCAGCACGGGTGCTCAATGAGAGGTCTACAGACCCTCCTGATTTTCGGTTGTATGAAAATGCAGATTCTCTAGTCCCACCTCCCCAGTCAGAGTCTCGGGAGGGGGTGACCTGAATTCCAAGGACCTGCATTCAAACACATGCCCTCCTTGATCCTGATATGGCCTGAAATTTGAGTCGAAGGCAAAATGAAATTGAGGACGACGTGCCTGTATAACCACATGGTGCATTTAGACTACGCCTTCAAGAAGTTTCTGTTGCCTTTGTATTTCTAGAAGGGACACAAATCATACTTTTATGCAGAACTCCCACTATTCATTAAAGTTGAGTGAAGCAGTGTTTACTCTGAAGATGAAAAATAGTTTATAAACCAAATACAAGATATTCTTTTCCAAGTACTTACCAGGTGTTGTGAGAAGATCTGATTCAGAAACTATAAAGGAATAAAAGAAAAATCAGACACGTGTGGGGTTCATCCACAGGGATCCCGAGCGAAATCCACCTTTGAACCATTGCCTTTCTGACACTTGACTCTGAAGTAGAGATGTAGCAACATCGGGTAGCTCAATGTCAACAGATCCGACATCTGTTCTTGAAATTTACTTCAAATTGATATGGACTTCTGGAGTCTCTCGTGCATGCACCGCAAAATGCTAAACTAGACCCAGGAAATGTGGCGATAAAAAAAAATGGCTATGGATGCCTTAAAAATAACTTCAATGAAATACTCCTCAAGAATTTGTCCATTTTTTTCTGCATATTTCGTGCTGCAGATGTCTTTTTTCATTAAGATAGAAACTAACCTTTCGTAACCACAGAAAAGCAAATGAGGCTTGTTCAAAAATGCAGGCTCGTTGCTTTTCTTACTTCTTTGAGAAAAGTTAGCATATGCAGCTTGTATTAATGGGCGTGAGGAGCTGAGGTGGAGGGCTTTGATTTAATTTACCAGTTCTCAACTAGCTGAAGGGAATGGCTAAAAGCACAGATTACTAACTATTTGGTCATTTAGTGCAAAAAGCTCAAGAGATTTTGTGCTGACAGAGACAGTGGGAGATGAAATGACTTTTTTCCCCATAAAATGACAGAGGTAGTCATTATTGAGACTTACCACCCTTCATAGAGTTATTTGGAGAATTAAATGAGAAGAATCTAGATGAAATGCTTATTGTACTGACTGGCGCATAGTCAGCACCCAACAAGTGTCAACTGCTACAGCAATAAGATTATGATGATGACTATGATTATTCACTCTCCATCACTCACTGTCGCAAATATTTCACCTACGTTATCTCATTTGGTCCTTGTGACAACCCATGATGGTAGGGTTCCCTTGTCTTACAGAGAAGTAAACGGAAGCACTTAGAGGAAAATAACTTATCCAAGGCACCACTGTTATTTCCATTTCCCGGAGGGAGAAACCAAGATTTGGAGGAGGACAGACCTCGTTACTATCGTGACTCGGCTCTGTGCTACATTCTTCGCATCATGTATAGGAGACCCACCTGAGCAGATGACGCTGGCGTCTTCCCCATGTCCGCAGTTGTGGCTGTTCCAGCCGTTGTGGGCGCAGCTCCACAGGTAGGACTCATATCCTGAGCAGCGCACGTCATCCAGGACGATCGGCCCCGAGCCCTGACCGAAACGGGCATTTCCTGGCGCTGACAGAGCTCGGCCACAGTCGAGCTGCCTGCACACCACGTTGGCGTCATTGATGTCCCAGCTGTCATCACACACGGTGCCCCACGAGCCTCGGTACAGGACCTCCACCCGGCCCTGACAACGGCCCCCTCCGTTCACCAGCCTCAGGGCCAAACCCGATTCAGTCCCTAGAGGAGAACACAGCATTTTCTTGCAGGTTCCTACTGAGAGACAGGGTCTCAGGCCCCTTAAGAATTCATAATTCTTCCCAGTAGACAAAGATCCCTGAGAGAATCACTACCAGGGGTGGACCCTTAACATGCCTAAGTTACAGTTCCTCCTATTATACGGACACTGACTGCTCTTCCATAACCCAATCCATGAGAGCTTCTGAATTAAAAATACACAGGTCCTGGTTTGCATCCTGGAGAGGACCTAGAAACTACTCACAGGTTCCTTCACTGAGCACACAGGAGCAGAGCCCCAAGTCCTTTGAACCTGTGACTCGTGAATGCTCATGCTGAAGAGTAGCCTGATGCCCCAGGATGTCATAGCAGGAGCTCTGACATTGGTCCGGGGCTCTGAGATTGCTTTGGAGAGCATTTCACAACTGGTTCTCCAGGCCCCACAGCTGGGTCTTCGAGGCCAGTATGGCCAGGGTCAGCACGGAGCTGTGCAGAGGGAGAACTGGCACTGTGGACATGACAGAGATCCCAGTGGACACTGACCCAAAACACACAGGTTCCTCAAGACCTCATGTTCAGACAGACTGCTTCCCTCTTTCTGGTACATGGACCAAGAAGGAGGCTCCCACTCAAGCCAGGCTCTCTGGTTCACATGGGATCTCCCTTTGCACAACATGCTCACAACACTCACTCTCACCCCATCCCCTAAAAGTTTCCCTGAATAAGAGTCACACCCTTAGTATACTTGGCATCATGACTTGCAGAGAAGGACCCATATGAAACTATTCATTACCTACTGCAGCCGGAGTCTCAGTGCTTGTTATAGTAGTCCCTGCATATACAGATTGTAGAAGGGGAAAGAAACAGAAGCGAAAAAGTGAGGACTCCTCTGAGGGACTCAAGGACTGAAAATAAAGTAGAATCTGCTAAGGAGATGTCATTCAGGGCTTGAATTTTATCTTGCTGGGTGACTTTGGAAATGTCAAGAAACCTGTTTAGCCTTGAGTTCCTCCACTCTAAAAGACTGTTTTTGGGGGCAATATCTCTGTGACAACCTATGGACCCTGATTCTGACCTTCCCACAGGGACCTGTGCAGGTCTCCAGGGGTGGATACAAAAGACTCTTCCCATCTCTATGCTTCTGATTGATTTCTCTTCTCTAATCATTGGCTTGCACATCTGGTATTGACATGTGTACCATCAGGATTCCCAGCTGATGCATGCTGACTCCTGGGCAGGGACCTTGGTGTGGAGGCTGTCCTTCCTCTTGTCCTAGGGCCAAAGATTCCCCAGGAGATGGGCAGTGACTTTCCTTCCCAAAGCTGAGCTGCCAGAACCTCAGGCTATATTGACTGTACCTCCCAGCGCTCCCACTAGAGGACCCGGGGTGGTGCACGAGACCTCTGATACCCACAGGCTGAGGGACCATGGTTCCTCTATGTTGAGAAGGAACCAAGGTGGCCTAAGATGGGCTCAGGAAAGGGCACAGGCAAGGATGCTGCCCCAGCTGATTTGCATCTGCCTTTCCAGGCCCTGCAGCCAGAGACCCAGCACCACAGCCTGGCCAGGGGTCAGCATGCATCATTCAGACCACAGGGCTGGGCACTGAGCATGGGCAACAGGACCTCCTTGGAGACAGGACTCCAACCTCCACCCTAGAGGTCCTTGGAGATGCCTCTGCAGCTTGATTCCTTCCCAACCTCAGGGACATTGTCCATGGAAAGGATACCCATTCAGGCCTGAGGCCTTGTTCAGAGGCTCCCCTTTGGGAGCCGAGTACTCCCACCTCTTACACCTTCAGCACCCCTTCTGGATCAGAGATCACCTATGGGTGAAGTGGAGTAATGAGCCCAACATGGATTCCGCAGAACAAACACTACCTTCCACAGTAGCTGTCAGGGGTACCTCTGTAGAAATCAAAGAACCTACAAAGTGAAGAAAAGAAGAGGTCACTCAATGCTGCCCCTCATTCGAGGAGCGCTGGCCCTCTGCTTCCTCAGCTCTGAAGCAAGAGGTTGGATACAGAGATCCAGAAGCCCCGCCCACTCCTACAAGCCTATGTTTCTTTCTTATGAAACAGAACTCATCTCTTGGTCATTTTGCCAGCCCTCGTTCAATGCTGAGATGCCACCAAGGACATTCTTGGCTCCTGTCATCATCCTCCCGCCTCCTCTGCTTTCACAGTCACCATCCAAAAACTCACCCCGTTGATTAACACCCTGCCTGATTCACAAGATTGGACTTCAAATACTAACTGCCTACTTCTGTGGCTCAAACACACCCCAAATGACAAACGTCTACTGTCACTGAGATATCCCTGAAAGGTGGTACCAACTAGGAAGGATGACAGTTTCCAAAAACGCAGCCTCAAATGCTGAATTAAACCTGCTCCAAGTGACAGCTTGGAGGGCCACATTCTCTTGGGAAGCCCATACTCCTGTGGTGGTTGGATTACCAGGGTCACATCCTGTGCATGGCAGCGTGTGCACAACCCAGGCCACATGGCAAATGCCAGAGGTTGCTCTAAAGATGGACAGTTTAACTACAAACTACCCCTTGGGGCACACAACGGGCAGTATCCTCAGAGGTTTCTTTGTGGCTTTAAGGACCCCTTGGTGCCCGAGCACTGACAGGACTCTGTGAACCAGGGAGGAATGCGGCACTGGGATTTGCTTGGTTGAATCAGGGAGAATTTCTCTTTATCGCCGAATATGTAAATATCTATTGCTTGTCATGTAATCCTCAGTATTGAGAACACACTGGTTACTCCTCATTCCAATTCTGGTATAGACTTAAGTGTTAAGGACCAGAAGTCCCCCATCCTTCTCCCCTGCCTTTAAAAGGAGGAGAAAGGGCCACTTAGGAAGGCATTGGGTCATCTCAGGACAGGGACGGCCATGATGCTGCTCATCGGAAGGTGTCCTCTGGGTGATTGTATCGGCAAGTTCTGAAGGGGACTGAGTTTGAAACCCGCCTCTACCACCTCCAGCTTTAGGAGTTCAGGCAAGTCACCTGCGCTCTCTGGGCCTCCATTGCTTTATCTGAGAAAAGGGACAGTAATACCTGCCCTCTAACCTCAAAGAAGACATGACTCAGAGTGGAGCAGGTAAGCTGCAACCCCGTTATGTGCATGTGCAGTGAGGATGAGGACAGCAGGAGCCCCTGTCCTCAGAGTGGCACAGGTGACAGCACGAGGCGATGCCTGCCCTACCTGAGCACACAACTCCAGCATCTTCTCTGTGGCCACATTCATGGTTGTACCACCCGCTGTGGGGGCAGCTTGACAGGTAAGGCTCCCATCCCGAGCAGTACACTGCGCCCAGGAGAATATTTCCTGAGCCCTGACCAAAGTGGGCCCCACCCAGGGCTGACACTGAAAGGCCACAGCCGAGCTGCCGACAGATGACATCTGCATCCTGGGCATCCCAGCTGTCATCACACACAGTGCCCCAGTAGCCTTGGTACAGGACCTCCACCCGGCCCTGACAGCGGTCGCCTCCATTCACCAGCCTCACAGGCAGACCTGCATCAAAACAGTGAAAAGCCCTCGTCTTCTTGGTCTCCATCCCTGGTTTTCGCCTCCTGGTGCTGTCTATTCTCCTCCTTTCTAGACCCCTGCCCCGTCTCCTTCACTGACTTTTCTCCTCTCTTGGGACCATACGTATGGCTGCTCTCCCAAGCACTGTCTCAGCCCTCTTCTTACTCTATCTTTTCCCACTAAAGGACCTCATGTACTCTGAGAGCTCTCCAGGAAGAGGACCCCAAATCCACATCTCCAGGGCTGATCAGCCCTGACAACCCCAGTCTTAACCTCTACACCAACACTGTCAACGGCCTCCTGGATACCCCAGCCCACCACCCCATGCTCAACACAGACCCTCTCCTCCATTTCAGTCAATGACATCACCGTGCTCCCCTTCAACTGTGCTGGAAATTAGCTTGTCATCTTTGATTATTCCTTCTCCTCACCTCTTAGATCCAACCTATCCCCAAGGTCGTCTTTCCTTTTATTCCCACCACCATTTTACCAGGTTAGGCCTTCCTTCTCTTGAACTTGGTCTTCTCCAGGGGCCTCCCAGCTGATCTCCCTACCCTGGCCCCACCTTTCTCTAGTCCATTCACCTTCATTGATTCAACCAGCATTTGTGGAGGGCCTACTGGATGCCCATGCCCATGCTGAGATGATTTATCTGTCTCCCTCAGACTGACTCAAATTTTATCGTTAGAAAGTACAGATATGTTCCAGTCACTTTCCTGCCCCAAATGCCTCAATATACTCTCCGCTCACATCAGGGTAAGCCAAAGATGACGTTCGTCCAAGACTGGGCCTTGACCTACCCTATCAACCCACCTGTAAGGGGCTTCGACATCCTGAGCTCCACCATGAAGATGACCACACCTAGGGAGTCAGCAGGTAACCTGTTCCTGTCTGACATGGTCCTGCTAAATCACCCTCACTGATTATGCAAGGAAAACAGGCAGCAGGTCCTGAGGGATCCAGCCCAACATCTTGACAGAAGGAGCCAAATCCTCGCTCTGGCTTTTCACCCGTTAGTTTGAGGGTACGAGAGATTTCTGCTCAGGGAGTGACCAGAGAGGTTGGAATGGGATGGAAGATAAGGGGGCAGGTGGTTGCTGTGTCTCTTGTAAGAGGAGGGGTCATGGAAGGAGGGAGAGTAGGTACCTTGGACTGTCTCTGGGGTATTCCCAAGGTGCATTTGGGTTTCCTCAGCCCTTCTTACTGTCCCTTTCTGGTCACTCCTGAGAATGCAGAAGAGCTCTCAGTTTCCCTGCCTCAGCCTGGCACTAGCTGGGTGTCAATCCCCAGAAAGCTGCCCCTCGAGTCTCTCCCGGGCAGGCTCTCAAGGCGTGCTCTGAAAGGGCAGGGTGTGGCGTCGACTCATTGAGCCAAGAACTCTCTGGCAGGGTCAGCTGTGCTAAGTGAGCATGTAAAGGACCCCGACATGTCAAAGTTGGAGCGAATGTCACACACTCTCACAGCAGAGAAGGAGGAGAGACGGATACATTTAGTAAGAATCACGCACGAAGGCAAAGGCACCTTTTCTGGGTTCGAATCTCTACCCGGACACTTACCCACCGTGTGACCTTAGACATGTAACTATTGACAACTTACCTGACTGTGTCCCAGTTTCCCCATCTGCAAAATGGGGTCATAACACTACTCACATCAAAGTGCTGTTGGGAAGATTTCACGATAACAGCACTTCCTATGTGCATTAGTTGAGCCTTATGTGCCAGGCAGTGTTTTAAGTGCTTTTTAATACATTGATTCATTTGATATATGAAAATAATTTTGTGCAGGGTACACAGCAAGCCCTGGGAGGATGTCAGCTATCTTCAAGAAAACTGTCATTCACAGTGAGAAGAGGCACTGACTCTGCTAACTGAAGCCAATGTCATGCAAGGGATGGATGGTTGGATGAATAGATGGATGGATGGATGAATACATGGATGGATGGACGAATAGATGGATGAATGAATGGATGGATGAATGAATGGATGGATGAATGAATGGATAGATGAATGAATGGATGGATGGATGAATGAATAGATGGATGGATGGATGGGAGGTGACAGAAGAAGGAAGAAGAATGAAAGATGGGACTGGCTGAGTGTTTGTCTGGGATGTGCCTAGGCTCTTGGCACCCCTTGACCCCTCCCTTTCCATCCCTGCTTTCTAAAGGGTAGGCACTTGCTCTGTGGCCAAGACTACACTAAGCCTCAACTAGCCAACAGCAGCAGCAGCAGAACTGGTGGACCCAGCCAACGAGCAAAACCCCGGGAAGACAAGGAAGGAGAAAGGTCTTACCATAGGCGGGAGTCTGGAGGTTCCACAGACCTAGAAAGAAACAAAACTCATCTTGGATAGGAGTGTCCACTATTGGTAAATGATCTACTGATACTGACTAGAGCTTCACCTCACAATCATGCCAGGTGGTGCTGTGGTTTGATCTTGGGTTTGTGTGCCTCCAGTGTTCTTGCTAAGGGTTTGGGGTTTTGCAATACGAGATTAAAACAAGTGGGTTGGATACAAGATGCTCAATAATTTTAGATGTAATAGAGTACATGTGTCCATACCAGCCCCTCTAACACTACAGTTTATAGTCACAGGACGCAATCTATGCTCAGAAAGAAAGGCTGGACAAGACAGGCAGCTCAAGCGGGGGTCAGGGATTTTGGGGGGCTGTTGAATCACCCTCGAGTCTGAAATTTGAGTAGAGTCAGCATCGGGAACAGTCACTCCAAGGCCGCTTAAATAAGTTAATATTCGGATGTTAGATATCCTGTTCCTTCTGATCCATACCCTGAGAAATTTTCACTCTATCTTGAAGAAACCCAAAATCTAGAGAACTCTGATCTTTACGATCAGTGAGGCCACACTAAAGCTCTCCACGCCTCCTTCTCTTCAGGTTAACCCTCAGTGTTCTGTCATGTCTGTCAGACTCAATTTTAGTTTTTGAGTTTCTTTTTTTAAGCAGCTCTAACTATATTTGTGAAGATTGATAGTTCATGACTTTTACATATTTTGAAAGGTCTTACAAAGTTCAAAAAGAATATTTATTCAGGGGCCAGCCCCGTGGTCGAGTGGTTAAGTTCGCGTGCTCTGCTGCAGGCAGCCCAGCGTTTCGTCGGTTTGAATCCTGGGTGCAGACATGGCACTGCTCATCAAGCCACGCTGAGGCAGCGTCCCACATGCCACAACTAGAAGGACCCACAACTAAGAACATACAACTATGTACGGGGGACTTTGGGGAGAAAAAGGAAAAAAATAAAATCTTTAAAAACACCTACTCTAAAAAAAAAAAAAGAATATTTATTCATTAAAAACTGGAATGAAACTCATTCTATCTTACAGTCACTATATGGATTCATTGGATCCTTGTGTAAATCCAAGATACATTATGAGTTCTCAGTGATCTCATTTTCCTGTATCTTGAAACGTGCTTCTACTTCGTCATTCAAGGAAATAACTCATCTGTTATTAATTCATCAATTACTATTATTAAAAAAAATATGATAAGAATATGGAAGAATGGGGGCATCGCATAGAAGGAATATGAAATGGTGAAATAAACCATCATTCTTCAATGCCCAAAATATTGCATTATCTTTCAAGAAGGTATTTTTTTAAAGGCTGGAGAAATTGTCATTATAGTGTGCTTTTAGCTGTCATGAATGCAGTTAGGAATTCAGAATTTTTCATTGTCTGTTCACAATGGCAGAGAGAAGAAAATTGATGAAGCAAGATGTTTCACAATAGTTAGTGAAGCAGAAGAGGAATGCAAAGCGACAGAGAGCAGCACCCTGGATGCTGACGATAATGGTGAAATTGACTGTACACCTGAAATCTCACACTACGAAGCTTCAGATGACAATATCTCAGATGAATTTCCTCAGATCTAAGAATCAAGGAATCAGTAATATAATTCTAAGTGCAGAAATAAAACGTAGTGCTCTCACCCACCTCAATGCAAAGGATCTCATCCATGATATTTGGCAGCATGAATGTGGACCACCGCATTTTGCTAAGGGACGTGCAATGGTTCACTTTCATCTTTTATGATGCTCCTGTAGGGCAATCTCCTTAATGCAAAGAGATCTGCTATGTTTAAATTCTTACGGGAATTTCTAGGAAGGTTGCTTTCATAATCCTTTGTTTCTTGCTTCCTCACACAGGGAGGGCTAAGGCATCTGAGAAACTTCTCAGCTACTATTGAAATGCAAGGCCAGCCAGGATCAGCAGTCAGCGGTCAGAGACCTGAATTTCTCTCACGGAACCACAGGCCAGTGGGGTACTGGCTGTCAGAGAACTCCATCCCCTGTCTCTGCACCCTGAACGTGGGGTCCACAATGGACTCTTCCAGCTGCCCTGCTCCACGCTGTTGATGGCCATAAGAGGGCCATGGAGGCCAGGTGACTACACACCCTGAACATGAAGAAGCAATTCATAACAGAAACAGACAGCCAGGATATTCTTTCCATAGAGGCCACAAAACTGGAAACATCTGCACCAAAACACCCCCTCCTCATTCTGATACACCATCCCCGCTCCCAGATTCAAGGACAAGCTGACAGACAGGCCTGAGAGAGTCCTCCATTCAAAACTCTGCTATTTGAACACAGTACAGATGACACCATGCGACTCCCACTGACAGGCTCCAGGCATCTTGCTTAGTCACAGGGAAGTCAGTGTCAGAATCTGCATCAGATTCAGAAGCTTTGAGCTCCTGGGTCTTGACAATACTCATCCATAACACTAAACAGAACATTGAAATTGTCTCCGGTTGTGCTATGTCCATGCATTCAGAATAAACTCTTTTGCACAGATTTAGTGAGACCCACTTGCACTCTTCCAATAATCAACCACATAGTTGTAGATGACACTGGCTGCCATTTGGGGAATGGGGGTAAATCACCTGGAGAAAGAAGCTTCCACTTGTTTGTTTTCCAGAAAATGGAAAGAGACTCTTCTCTGGCACTGGGGATCAGTGTCCAAGAGAGTCAAGCTGTCAGAGGGACCAACTAGGAAAAGCCACAAGAGATCTCTCAAGGTACTCCACAAAGACCTAGTCCCTTTGCAGGGGAGCTGGCACCTTTCCATCTGGACTCAGCCATTGCCCCAAATCTCCCAAAGCACCTATTGTGCACATTTGGACATGGTGCACCTTAGGGCTCTATTGGGGTAAGACTGAAGAGCTTTGCATTAAAAAAAAAGCAGAGTGGGGCTGGCCCAGTGGCACAGCCGTTATGTTTGCACGTTCTGCTTCTCAGCAGCCTGGGCTTTGCCGGTTCAGATCCCGGGTGCGGCACTGCATGGCACAGCATGCTGTGGTAGGCATCCCACATATAAAGTAGAGGAGGATGGGCACGGATGTTAGCTCAGGGCCAGCCTTCCTCAAAAAAAAGAGCAAGATTGGCAGATGTTAGCTCAAGGCTAATCTTCCTCCAAAAAAAAAAAAAAAAAAGCAAAAGCAGAGTATCATCAACCTAACCAATATTTACTAGATGGGCCACTCCAGTTGTTCTGGAAGAGAAGCCTAAGAAGATCATGTAGTGACTCCAACAGCGCTCTGGAAAGTGCTCTGGAACTGAAGCAAATGTCTACTGAAGAGTTATTGCATCTTCGTGGCTGGTGAAGAGAATCCCATGTCTTGCTATTTATATGCAAGGTCTCATTTAATCCTTCCCCCAACCCCATCCTCACTTACACCTGAGGACACTGAGGCACAGACGCTATAAAGGTAGCCCAAGGACACCCAGACCCCAACTCTACTGTCCATGCTGTTACCTATCATCCTGTGCTGCCTTTTGTCACAGCGCTGCCTGCTACCAGCCACTCCTTGTAGTCCTTGCAAGGCAGGTGGTCCACGCTAATCTACTTTCCATAAACTCGCTAAATTCGGTTTTCAATGGGAAGTCACCTGGCGGCCTTCACTAAGACTCCAGCAGTGACAGTGACTCCCAGAGAAACACTCTTCCTTCCTGCTCTGTCTGGCTCACTCCCACACCGGCTCTGGACCTCAGTTCACCTGTGACGTTCTCGGGACTGCTCTCTCTGATGGCTGATCAACGGCTCCAGCACTGATCACAGCTCTGATTGTAACTGAGTGATCAGCTGATTAGTGTCTGTCTTTCCCTTAGACCCTAAGTCCCTGAAGGCAGGGAACGTGATCCCCTGAAACAGCACAGAGCGAGCCCATGCTGTGGTCTCTCCTGCTTAGAAGCGTCCTGGGAGGACTGGTTCTGCCAAATGAGGTGACAAGGAGATCAAGGCCATTGTGAAAGGCATGTCAAGGTTAGCAATGTACTTGTGGAAAAGCCTTTCTATCGACAAGTCTGAGCTACAATGTAGCCAAGAACCATTTGGGAAAATGTGAAAAACCTAAATTCAGTTGACATTGAGGCAAATATAGGCATTAAGAAAAAATAAGTAACAGCAAGTAGCTCTTAAAATATATGCACATATCTTCTGTCACTTCCTTTGGAAACTCTTGGCAAAGTCATGCTTCCATAGTTACATCACAAACATGAAACCTGCATTCAGTCCGGGGCCAGGCAGCTCGGGTGGTCAATGTGTGGTCTACAGAGCGTCCTTATTCTCAGTTATGTGAAAATGCAGATTCCTGAGCCCCACCTCAGCCCTCCCAATCAGCGTCTCTGGAGGGGGATGAGGAGAATTCCAAGGACTTGCATTCAAACAAATGCCCTAGCTGATTCTGATGAGCACTCAACGTTGAGTCAGTGGGGCAGCCTCGGGGGCAGAGATCTTAGGAAAGACATGTGGCTGGGCAGAGGCTGGCATGGAGGCCCCGGACCTGTCTTCTGGTCAGCATGGACTTTCATAAGGAAGGGGCTGAGGGCCCAGGTGGACCCCGTCAGAGGAGGTCCTTCCTGTCCTATGTCCAAAACCCAGAGGATACTCTGCAGCAGCCCCTCCTGAGTCCTTGGGGGTGGCCTTGGGTCCCACAACCTCCCAGTCCCAGAGTTTAGTTACCAGTTGGCGTCTGTGTCTCCCTGGAAGTGGTTCCCATGGTGTTTCCCACTGTTACTGAAAATACAAAGAAAAAGAAGCCAAATGAGACCTCCTCTGAAAACAAGCAGGAATCTGACCCCCTGCTGATTTGAACAAAGGAGGGGCTCCTCACACTGCACCTTGGAGCGTTCGCTGGGCCTGTCCCTCATTAAGTAACTCTTGCAGCAAATATGGACCCATCTCTGACCACATGGCAGGCGCTGCACTCAGAGTCCGGCAGAAGAAGGGACCCGCCACAGGGGGAAGGCTCAGTCCTCCAGAGCTCAGAGCCACTCAGCACTGGACTTGGTCACCCACCTCCGAGGAGCCCAGAGAAAAGGGAGAGGAGGACTCTCGGAGCGAGCACTTGTGGGCAGGAGGGGCCCAGAGGGGAGAGGAGGTTTCATCTAGGCTTGGAAGAAGGTAGAGACGTGTCAGGAAAAATGGGTTGAAAGTATGGTTGCCAGATAAAATTCAGAACACGCAGTTAAATTTGAATTTCAGATGAATGACTACTTCTTCACTATAAATATATTGCAAATATTATGTGTGATATACTTAAGAAAACAACATTTTTATCTGAAATTCAAATTTAATTGAGTGTATTGCATTTTTTCAAGTATTTTTTAAATTTTATTTTATTATTATTTTTTATTTTTATTTTTTGATGAGGAAGATTGGCTCTGAGCTAACATCTGTTGCCAATCTTTCTCTTTTTGCTTGAGGAAGATTATCACGGAGCTAATATCTACGGCAACCTTCCTCTATTTTGTATGTGGGACACTGCCACAGCAGGGCTTGATGAGCAGTATGTAGGTCCACGCCCGGGATCCGAACCTGTGAATCCCAGGCCACCAAAGCAGAGCATGTGAACTTAAGCACTCTGCCACCGGGCTGGCCCCTGTATTGCATTTTTATTAGCAATGTCTGCCTACACTGGATGAGAGGCATCCCAGAGGTGGCAGCAGACAGGAAGTTCTCTTGACTGACCTTTACGTATGCCCCTGGCCAGATGGACCAGGGCTCTCCATCCTCTCTGTAAACCCCTGAATCCTGGGGCTCGTAGGCTAATTTCTAACGTGCTCAGCAACTTCTGCTCCAACCAACTAAGCTGTGTGATCAACTGGAGGCAGATATGAGTCCCAAACCTGTTTACACCAGTTGTACTTGGCTTTAAATTAAATAAAATATTAAATTGATGAAATATGGGTACAAGAAGAAAGACACTTTTCTATGAAAGTAAGGCCTAATGCTTTGGAAATAAAATCAAGATGTTAAAAAGAACTCAGGTGAGTGAGACAGCAAAAAGTAGAAGAAAGATGTAAAACAAATAGGGGAACTTCTGCGCTCACACTTCTTTGCAAGCGTCTTTCACTTCATGCTCCACTTTAGAGAAACTGAAATTAGAAATTAGAGATACGCAAAATCGTGTGGTTTGTGCGAGAAAGACATTGCAGACCTACTGAAGACCCCACTGAGATAGAGCCGCCGGCCACACGTCGGCGAGTCACAGCACGCTGACGTTTTAAGTTAAAACAACGCGTATGTATCATACTTTATGGTTCCTCATTTTAAACGACATTTTGAGTAAGCGGCCAACAGCCTGTCCCAGTCACATAAGAAAGGAGCTCCTTTAGAGCAACGGTTCTCAAAGCGGCTTCCATGCCCAGCAGCGCCAGCCCACACCTGGGAACTTGTGGAAAAGGCCTATTTTTAGGCCTTCCACGGACACAAGTCAGGAACTCAGGAGGTGGTGCCGACAATGTGTGTTTTCACAAGCGCTCCAGACGATTCTGATACAAACTAAAGTGTGAAAACTGCTGTCCCGCAGCCCGTGTACAGGAAAAGTAACAGCAGTTCCGAGAGAGCGGGAAGGAACAGCTCCTTCCGCCCGTTCCTGAGCACCTACTGGGTGCCCGACTCCACCCGGCAGGGGACAGCGAGATCACGTGACGCCCCACTGTCCTGGGGAAATTCGCTCCAGTGGGTGAGTCATCCGAGTCAGCAGGTAGAGGACAGTGGATGAAGGGCTCCAGTGAGGGGTGTCCAGGAGTCCAGCAGGGGACCCCATGTGAGGTCCTGGCATCACACCAGATGGGAGCCGGCAGAGGGGAAGATGTGGGTTAACACAGGCTCTGAGGAAGCAGAGACACTGTGGATGAAGCTCTCCTTCAAAATATTCTAACAGGAATAAAAATACCAACTCTATACAAAGCTTCCTGGCCGCCTCCTGGCAGATGAGGAGATGAACCAGGTGTCTGGACGGAAGGACTGAATATGGAAATGTCAGTCGCCCTAAACAAATTCACAGCTTTAATATAATTCCCATTGCAAAGCTTTTCTTTGATTGGTTGCTTCTTTAAAAAGTGATTTTAGGGGCTGACCCAGTGGCATAATGGTTAATTTCAGCACACTCCACTTCAGTGGCCCCAGGTTTGCAGATTCAGATCCCAGGCACAGACCTATCAACGCTCATCAAGCCAGGCTGTGGCGACATCCCACATCCAAAATAGAGGAAGATGGGCACGGATGTTAGCTCAGCGACAATCTTCCTCAAGCAAAAAGAGGAAGACTGGCAACAGATGTTAGCTCAGGACCAATCTTCCTCACAGCAAAAAAAAAAAAAAAAAGATTTTACAGTAGTCACCATTCAAAAAGTTAGTATTAGCCTCAAAATATTACAAATAAAGCTGTAAAAATTAAAATATAGAAATAAATTTTTAGATATTTACATCACACCAGAAAGCAAAATAATTTTCAGAAACAAAGAATTAGATATCTTTTTTAAACACACAGAAATAAAAAAAACTAGTTAAATGTTTATCCAGTTTCTATAAGAAGTTTCTAGAGTTAAAATCCACTAAGGAAAACAGCAATAAATTTAATTTCGTGAAAATATAAAATATTTATGTGGAAAAATTCAAAATCCAAATTAAAAGGCAAACAACAAACTGGGAAAATACTTGTCATCAATATAATGAGCAAAGTACTAATATCCAAATTATAGAGAGAGTTTACATAAATCAACAAGGAAGACACTAACCTTTCAAACAAATGGGACAAAGGATACAAACAGACAATTGAAAAGACAAAGGAACAAATTGAACAGACAAGGAAAAGGAATATAAGTGGCTTAAGATGTTCACTCTCATTATAAGCAAAGAAATGCAAATTAAAATAACTGGGTGCCATTTTTCATCCAGCAATTCAGCCAAGATTTTTGAACAATAATATTAGGAACTGGAGAAGGTGTAGAAAATTGCCACTCTTGTTTTTTACTGAGAATGGAAAGAACTGGCACGTTTCTGGAAAATCATTTATCAGTGTATTTTAAAAGCCTTAAAAATGATCAACTCTTTAACTCAGTAATTCCACTTCTAAGAATCTAGCGAAAGGAAATAATTTCTAGAATGTGAGCAAAGATGCACGGGCAGGGATGGTCTTCACGGTAACCTCCATATAGAAAGAACCTGAAACGGGGTGGAGGAAATGGGGAGAGGTTGGTCTAAGGACACCAACTTCCAGCAATGAGGTGAATAAGCTCTCGGGATCTAGCGCAAAACACGGTGACTGTGCTCGACAACATTGTACTGGACAATTGAAATGTGCTAAGAGAGCAGAACTTAAACGTTCGCATTAAAAACAGATAAATATGTGAGGTGCTGCATGTGTTAATTACTGGGATGTGTACTTACAGCACAGTGTGTACGTATCTCAAATCACCATGACGTACGCTTTAAACAGCTTACGATTTTGCTGATTATATCTCAATAAAGTGAAATTTTTTTAAAAAAAAAGAAGAAAACCTGAGACAACTTCAATATCCAAAAATTGTGAATGGCATGCTAAAATGTTCAGAATATAAAGATAAATTAGAGGAAAACTGTATATTTAGTGATACCACTCACGTACATATAACTTGAAAGAAACACATAGTTGAACAACGGCAGTCTCGCGTGATAGGAGGGCGGGTGTTTGGATTTTCTCTGCATTTTTCTCCAGCTCCTA